GTAAAGTTGGTAGTACTGTAGTACTGTAAAGTAAAGTTGTTAGTACTGTAGTACTGTAAAGTTGGTAGTACTGTAGTACTGTAAAGTTGGTAGTACTGTAGTACTGTAAAGTTGGTAGTACTGTAGTACTGTAAAGTTGGTAGTACTGTAGTACTGTAAAGTAAAGCTCCTGTGTGTTTGGTTCTGCAGGTCACACAGAAGGAGAGAGCAGGAGAAGTGAGTAACAACAACATTTTTTTATGATTCTTAACTTTTTAACAGATTTATTTCTAAAACTGTTCCTGAAGTGACATCATCACACACCTGGACAAAAACATCCAGTTGTGTGTTAACGTGTGTTTGTTCCAAGGTGTGATGACATCATCACACACCTGGAGAAAAACATCCAGTTGTGTGTTAACGTGTGTTTGTTCCAAGGTGTGATGACATCATCACACACCTGGAGAAAAACATCCAGTTGTGTGTTAATGTGTGTTTGTTCCAAGATGTGATGACATCATCACACACCTGCAGAAAAACATCCAGTTGTGTGTTAACGTGTTTGTTCCAAGGTGTGATGACATCATCAGTATGTGTCTGAATAAATATAAAAAGACAAACTGAGACTGTTTACATGTTGTGAAGGTTTTATTTCTTATTTCCTGTTAATAAACAAACAGTTCTTCTTCTTGTTCTTGAAGCTGATGTCAGAGGAGCAGATTGATGTCATTCTGATGTCATCAGGTCAAACTGAGCAGGAGCTGACTGATCATTGAGTTGTTAATAAAACACATCAGGTCCTGCTCTGAGAGCAGCTGAGCTGATAAACAGAACATTTGAAGTGTTTCTTGTTTAAATGGTTGAAAAGCTTTATTAACACTTTGTTATCTGAAGGAACTTGTTGATGTTTGGTTCTTCAGTGTTCCCGTACCCGGTTCCTCCCATCGAGGAGAACGTGTTGGACGACAGCAAAGTGTTGAAGCTGTGGGACTCAAACAAAGTACGTTCAGATATTTTAAATCTTTTCAGAGTGCTGCTCCTCTCCTGTCTGTGAGACGAATAAAATCTGTTGTTTTCTAAACACTCGTTTTATTTCCAGAGGTGTCAAGTAACTAAGTACAAATACTTTATTACTTTTTACTTAAGTAGAAATTTAGCTTATTTATTCTTTAGTGGAGTAAATATTTTTTACTCCTTCAATTTAATTCAATCATCTGTACTTTCTACTCCTTACTTTTTAAAAATGAAAATAGATTTTCATTTTTATTTCACTTTGACTTGTTTTTATTTTATCTTTTCATTGTTCAGAAAAAAAACAACAAATAAATATAAACGTATACAGATACATGGAGTCACTGTGATTGTGTTTGGAT